ACCAGGCACTGGTGGCTGATAATCCTAGCTACTCAGGAGGCAGAGATCAGCAGGATCACGCTTTGAAGCCAGCCAGGACAAATAGTTCGAGAGACACTATTTCAAAAATACTGAACACAAAAAAGGCCGGTGGAATTAAGTGGAAGAGTACCTGCCCTGCCTAACAAGCATGAGACCCTGAGTTAAAACTCCAAACCACCACCACCACCACCACCAAAAAAAATCAAAAATCAAAACAAAAAACCAAAAAACTGCTGTGAACCAAAGCAACGTGACAGTATAAACCAGTCTGACTCTGAAGTAGGCTGAACAGGAAGTGGTAGACTAAATTTTTTCTATAAGGTCCCCTCTTCCTTAAAACGAAGACCTAAATCCTCAGTGTAATATCCAACACCTTTTGGTTTCAACTATTTCATACTCACTATATTTCCCTCACAAAAACAGAACGCCTATCAGAAGGAAGACGATAATCTGAACACATATTGCATGTTTCCCCGATGCATGGCTTTGCCATCTATTGAGAAGTGTGTCTCTTTCTAGGACCAAAATCCTACACTTTCTTCGAAGACCCAGCTTAATAAAGGTTACTTCCTATACAAAGTCCACCCAACCAACCTACCAAGTATTACTTCTCTCTCTCTCTTTTTTTCTCGGGGGGCAGTATTGGGTTTAAACTCACAGCCTTGCACATGCTAGTTATGCTTCCACATGAGTCACAGGCCCAAGCCCAAAGTGCTTGGGATCCCCAAGTACTTAGTTTTTAACTTGGACACTCAAGTCTGGGCACAGATTTGGCCCTGTGCAAATTGATAAATGCTATGTGGACCATAAGGATGGATGTTTCAGACTCAATCAGGGAATAGAGGCCCAAAGCTGTGAGCTTTTTAGGGGATGATCAGCAAGATGAATCTGATCAATAAATCTTAAACAGAACAAGAAAGTATCTTTGCTGAAAGAACTGGCAACTACATGCCAGTTATGAAAAGGCAAGTAAAGGCATGTGTGTAGTACTGTATATTTAGGTGGTAGTCATGTTTCTAAACTGCTTTTAGTCTGTTTGTCCTCTGTAGTTGTTTGGGAAGCAAATGCTTTCCAGATGGAAAATCTGAACAGAAAACAAGAACTTGTGCTACATATACAATGAGCAGGAGTCTATCTGTCTGTCTGTCTGTCTCTGTGATAGGGATCAAACCCAGAGCCTTGTCAGTGCTACACAAGCACTCTAGCACTGAGCAATACATCCCAGCCCTATTTTTTTTTAACACAGGGTTGTTCAGACTGGCATTGAACTCCTAATCCTCCTGCCTCAGCCTCCATAGTGGTAGGATCACAGGAGGTAGCCAGCATACCTGGCAGGAAGGTCAACTATGGAGGAATCCTTGCTCTTGAGTTCCAGAGGACCTAAGGTTAGAATACTGGTATGTGAAAACCTTATTTATTTATTTGTGGCACTGGGTTTTGAACTCAGGGCGTTCTGCTTGCTAGGCTGGTGTTCTACCACGGGAGCCACACTGTGAGGGCATGTGAATACATTCTGAATTTTATCTGAGTTGTGTTCAGAAACTTGGCTCATCCCTTTGTAGGATGTTCAGATTATGAAACTATACGCATTGCTTTGGGTTAAGAGACCATAGAAATGTGGCAAATTCTAGGATACCGTGAGGCCTCAAATAAATCTTTCAAGGTTTATGATGAAAGAAAAATGATTACTCAGGCATGGCAGTGCACACTTGTGATCCCAGCACTCAGGAGGTGGAGGCAAGATGAAGAGTTTCAGGCCAGCCTGATCTATATAGTAAAGCAAACAAAAAAATGCACAAAGCTAGGCCAGAATTATGGCTACACTAGGAAAATTATCAAAACATTCCATTATACCCTAAACACTAAAAGCACAAAGGTTCAACCAAATTTTGTTCATATTTGAGTAACTTTTCTAATTAAACCAATGAAAGGGTATTCAGGTATCTCAAAATTGAGAACTCATTTTGTTCTAAGTCTAAGACAAAGCAGGAAAAAAAAAAAGTGAGAGAGAGAGAAACCATTTTGGCTGGGGGTGTACCTCATTAGTATAGCACCTGCCTAGTGCACAATGAGGCCTTGGGTTTGACCCCTAGCATCACAGGGAAAAAAAAATCTAGACACTTTTTTGTTTTGGGGTGCTGGGGATTGAACCCAGGGCCATACATTTACTCAGGCAAGTGTTTTACAAATGAGATACATCCTCAGATCAAAATACTTTATTTTATTTTCTGGTGTGACTAGGATTTGGACTCAGAGCTTCACACTTGCAAGGCAGGCACTCTACCACTTGATTCAAACCTCCACTCCATTCTTGCTCTGGTTATTTTGAGATGGGGTCTGGCCTCGAACCTCAATCCTCCTGATCTCAGCCTTCCAAATAGCTAGGATTATGGAGGTGAGTAACTGGTGCCTGCTTCAAGATACTTTAAAAATAGAAAGTATCTATTTTTAGACTTCAAATAGACTGGGATTTGAAGCCAGTCTGGGCAAATAGTGAGACCCTACCTTGAAAATACCCAACACAAAAAAAGGCTGGTGGAGTGGCTCAAGTGGTACAGCACCTACCTAGCAAGTGTGAGGCCCTGACTACAAACTCCAGTACCACCCCCCCCAAAAAAAAGAAAGAAAGAAATATTCAAATTATATAGCTTGCTATTGCTATTGAAATTCAGAACTTGGTGCCGAAGTTAAAATGGTAAATTGCACAGTCTATCTTTTCTGTATTTAATACCAGGACATGTACATTAAAAAGTGAAGTTTAAGAAAAGCATGGCAAGGTCAATGACTTTACTCTGCCAAATGTCACAGATGTAAGATAGACAAACTACTACTTAAATGCACATTAATAAATTCTGTTGCCTAACAAATGAAACTCTCAGCAAGGATCTCCAATCCTTATTTATTCATTCAACAATCCAAATGACCTACTATGTGCCAAACACTAGATAAAACAAGAGGTATGGGCTCATTTTATTTTTTTGAGGTTCTGGGGTTTGAACTCAGGGCCTCACATTTGCTAGGCAGGCACTCTACCACTTCAGCCATTCCACCAACCCATGGGCTCATTTTATGAAAAACTAGCCACTCACTTTTTATTCCAAAAACTGTTCAGAAGAGTGTGTGTGTATGTGTGTCAAAATCTATCAATTCTAATGTTGTCACTACAGGGAAAACCAGAAATCATTAAAGATCTTCTACTGCTTTAAGGTGCAACTTATTCCAATACAGGTGCATTTCAACCATTCCACTTTCCATATAAATGCCTAGATGGCACCTAGGGGGGAACACAGGCACTACTAATTTCTGGACTGTATTCATACATCCATTCAAAAACCTTGGAATTTTCTGAACTATTCCAAACTACTGATCTGATTCCCCCTTTTCCCCCACCAACTGGGGACTGAACTTGCTAGTGATGACCTGATTCTTTTTTGTGGGACTGGGGTTTGAACTCAGGGCTTTGTGCTTGCAACCGCAGGCACTCTACCGCTTGAGCCACACCTCCAGTCCATTTTGCTCTGCTTGTTTTGGAGATGGGGTCCTGAAAACTATTTGTCACAGCTGGCCTGGAACTTCAATCCTTCTGCTCTCAGCCTCCTAAGTAACTACAATTATAAGTGTGAGCCACCAGCCTCCGGCTCTGACATGATTCTTAACACAACTTGAGTAGACTATCTTATTTCTGGTTAGAGGTTCCAGCACAACCCATCTTTTATATAAATTCCACCACAACTGCCTTAAACCTGTACCATGAAGCATCTTCACCTGACTCTTTGAAAAAAGGGTAAAATACTGTCCACTTTGCATTCAAAATTTCCAATTTGACTATAAAACAGAAGTCCAAGAAAAAAGTATCTCATAAACTTACTTTTCTTCTGTTTCCTAATTCCCCACACCATCTCACGATCTACCTCACTCCATTCCTTAACTATTAACTCACCTATGCATTTTTACAATTCCACGTTTTATGATAACAGTAACAACAATCTCAGTTAGAAATGTATAGTTTGAATTAAAGCAAGAGCTGCACTTTTTTTCTTTAACATCCCCAAAGGAACCGTGAAGGTTTAAAAAAAAAAAAATCTGGAAGCTGGGTACGGTGGTTCACGCCTATGGTACTCAGGAGGCTGAGGCGACAGCTCAGCAGCAATTCGAGACCAGCCTGGGCAACATAGCGAGACCTCGTCTCAAAAGGAAATCAAACAAAAACCTGGAAAAGTGAAGAAAGGGGAGTTCATTCTTTCTTCTTAAAACCTCCCAACCCTAAGGCCCCATCAGGAACCAAGAGCCGCCTTTCCCTCCTTTTTTCTTACACGTTTTCCATAAACACTCCCGGGACCTCCGCCCTACTTATGCTAAAAGCTCCCCCACCCCTTTTGGGCCAGGACAGACAAGTGACGGATCCTCCCCTTCCCGATTTATTCAACAGATCTCCTCCCCCATTAGCACACCTTGGGCTGCCCAGCCCCCTCTTCCAATATACTGGAAGTTACTTCTTCGTAGCCCTGCAGGAGAAATCCCGCTGGCAGCCTTGGCCAGACCAAGTATCTTCAGGTTACATTTCGAAACCTCGGGTCTCGCAGCCCTCAGCCCCCGCCACGCACACCCAACCTGAAAACTGTCTCTTTACCCATTTCCTAAATTTGTTCTCCAGCCCAATCCAGGAGCCGCCCACCCAACCCAAAGAGTATTGTCTGGGTCTACCCAGGCCCAGAGGAGCGACCCACAAGACTGCTTCGATCCCAGGCTCAGAATTCACCGCCCCGCCCTCTCCATCCATCACACAGCTGGCGCCTGACCCTCCGCGCCACGCGGAGAGCCCCACGCGGGAAACGAACCGTTAGGGTGCTGGACCCGGGCGCATTCCGCACTCCTAAACCGCCGCCGCCAGATCGCAGCCCCCAACCCCAGCTCCCGCGGCCCCCGACCCCAGCTCCCACCGCCGCGCCCCCTCCCCCCGCCTGCAACGGGCTCTTCACCTAAGAGCAGCGCCCAAGAGTCCGAGAGGAATCGGTGCCGCGCTACTGGCGCGTCGCGTCGGGTAGGTCGAGGAAGTGGCACCCAGGAAAGCAACAAGCCCGGTGGCCGCAGTCAAGCCCCTCGCTGAAGCGGCGTACCGCAGGCCCGGCCGACGGCCCTCCCCTCAGCCGAACAAAAGAGCCTCGCACTCTGCGCTGCCCGCCGCCCGCAACGCGCAAGCGCGACGACCCGCCGCACGGCACCATGGGACTTGGAGCCTCCGGGAGACTACAAGTCCTACAATGCCGTTCGCGTCCCACGCCTCCCGCGCCGCTTGCGCTGGCGGTAGGGAGTTCTAGTTTTTAAAACAACAAAATCCGGGAGCGTGTAGTTTTAGAAAGCTGCAATTTAGAAAACTTGGACATGTGATTTGACAAGCGAGCTCTTTGATGCTTTGTCCGGAAAGCTATCCACTTTTGGACAGTTCTATAGTTCAGAACCTCGACGTTTTTAAATCTTAACAGGTTCCTCAGCAGGGCTTTGTCGAATCTCCGCCTTCTGGAATCTCCAATAATCTCTGCAAACCTCAATCTCCGCCTGTTTAAATCTAAGGCTCCAGCTCCTCAGCTTTGAGATTACCTTCTCTTCCAGACTGTCCCGGAAGCCCCCAAAGTAGGTTAAATCCCTGTGGTAGGCGGATCGGGACTTCTTGAATTCCCCCTTCTAATGGCCTGTGCCAGTGGGAGGTTTTTGTGCACACCCCTTCATTTCCTTGAGTACCCCTTATCCAACCACCCCGAAAAAACAATTAGGCAAAAACCTGCCTGACATTTTTTGAGACAAGTTTGCTAGTTCTTATTTTAACTGGATTGCTGTTTCCTTTTGGACCCTAAACTCGGGGAGGGGGCGGTTAGTAGCACTGCCTTGTTTGGCGGTACTGGGGTTTGAACTCAATACTTGCTAGGCAGACACTCTGCCACTTGAGCCACTCCACTAACTAGCCCTTTTTTGTGTTGGGTTTTTTCGAGATTAGGTCTCCCCAACTATTTTTCCGGGTTGGCCTGATCTCTGCCTCCATAGTAGCTACGATTATAGCCTTGAGCCACTGGTGCCTGGCTGAAAAAAAAAATTGTTGAATAAGTGATTAAACAAATAAGTGAGGTGTCCTCCTACCTGACAGAAAATGGAGCTGGTTAAAGTTTCCTTCATCTCTTTTCTTCACCTCAGGTTCAGTTCGTGTTTTAATACTCTCTCCCTTACTCTTTCTTTTTCCTAGCCATTCAGGAACTGAATAGAACTTCTACCAGAAGACAACTTTTTTTTTTCTTATTTTGAATATTAAAATGCCCCTGTACTCAGAGGAAAAGGGGAAACAACTAGTGTGCACTCTACCCCAGAATGCAAGATTTGCATTTATATTATAATTTTGCTGAGCCAGACACTGTTGAAGGCTTTGGAGAATTGCTTTGTAAGAAATCTAGTCCAGCAATATCACAACAATGTAGCCTAAAAAGACTTTGAGAGCACAGAGAGCAGTTCTTACTGAGAGAATTTGGGTTGGGGCTCCAAAAAGAAGCAAAAATTCACGTACTTCATGTACACACTTCATTCCTGTTTTGGATAACTTTAATAATGAGAAAAGGAGTTGTAATCATATTAACTACTTTGTGTGTGCTCATGCCCCAGGGCCTTGTGCATGTAAAAAATGTGTTCAACCACTGAACAACACCCCCCAGCCCAAGCTACTATTACTGAAAGTGTACCTAGTGCTAGAAATTCTATGGTTTTATTTGGGTTTTTTGGAAACATACTGCCAGCCTCTTGGGACAGGGTCTGATGCTGTATTGAATTCAGGGCTTCATGCTTGCTGGGCAGGCGCTCTACCACTTGAGCCATGCCTCCAGCACCCTAAATTCTGGTTCTTACATATGTATTTCAAAATGCCATCATTTGAATTAAGGGAGCCACAGGTTACCTTCTTTTTCTAGGTAGTGGAACACCATTATGCTAATCTAGAATTCAGACAGGGATGGATATCAAGTTTACAAATCTAAAATTTCTGGGCTAACAATATTCATTTTGAAAATTAGGATTAAACGAATTTAGTTCTTCTCTTCCCATAAGAATAGAGATATTTTAAGTTATTCAGACGCTCAGATTTTCTTTTTTCTATTATTTTAATTTTCCCCCATTTTCATTAGCATATATTCATTGTACAGGAGGATTCATTGTGACAATTCTGAATAGCCTTACATTGTACATTGGTTAGATTGCCCCACTCAGGGTTTCTTTTCTTTCTAAGGGTAACTGCCACTGAATCATAATCTTTTTTTGGGACTGGGGTTTGAACTCAGGACTTCTCACTTGCAAAGCAGGCACTCTACCACTTGAGCCACACTTCCAGTCCATTTTGCTCTAATTATTTTGGAGGTGGAGTCTCTGGAACTATTTGCCCGGACTGGCCTCAAACCATGATTTTCCTGATCTCAACCTCAGCCTTAATAATTAGGATTATAGGCATGGGCCACCACTGCCCAGTTCTAAATCACAGTCTTGCTCAAGACACTATGTGAAGTGACATTGTTCATGCCCAAGGAAATGCGTCTGTCACATCAAGTTCCTAAATCACAAGTAATGTGGGGAAGGGAAAAGTGTGATGTTGCAGAAAGACCAAGGGCTCAGGAATCAGGCCGAACTGGATTCTACTCTGTCTGGACCTCATCTTCCATGAAAAATTAAAAACCAATTAAATATTATTTTAGACCTACTTTACAGCATTTCTGCAAAATGAATAGTAATGTTAGGTAAGGGGAATGGCATATATCTAGCAGTCAGTAAATAGTAGCTATTTTAAGTGCCTTTGGGAGGTGATTTAGGCTGGGAGAAAGTACAGAACTTTGAAAAACATTCCCCCCCCCACATTGTTGAAATTTCATTTATTCATTTGAAGTTAACAAGTACCATCTTTTAAAAGGCAAATGTACTTAAGAGGTATCTCCTCTCTTATCCTTTGTTTGTCTGACTTCCTCATAGTACCAGACTAATTAAAATGTGAACTTTTATAATCACACTGCCGTAGTCCTGACTTTGACTGGTTTTCTGCTTGAAAGATATAAGGTTAAGTATCCCTTGTTGGAAATGCTTCTGACCAGGAGTCTTTTGCATTTGATATTTTTTTCGATTTTGGAATATTTGCATAGGCATAATGACATATCTTAGAGCTGGGACCCAAGCCTAAACACAAAATATGTATTTGTGTTCATATTTTCCATGTATATCTTTTTTGTTGTTGTTATATGCACAGTCCTCCTGCCTCAGCCTCCTGAGTATGGGCTTACAGGTGTGTATATCATGCCTGGCTGTTCCATGTATTTTTACACATAGCTTCAGGGTATTTTATACAGTATTTTTAGTGCCTCTGCATTTTGACTGTGACCTGTCACATGAGGTCAGGTGTGAGATTTTTCCACTTCTGGCATCATATTGGTGCTCAAAAAGTTTTGGACTTTGGAGCATTTTGGAGTTTGGAATTTTGGCTCAGAGATGCTCAACCTGTAATTTTCATTTGCTAGCATTTCAGTTGTGACAGTGTTAGAAATTACTCTTGAGGGTGGAGTGCAGTGACTCACTTTTGTAATCCCAGCTATGAGGGAGGTGGAAATGTGGAGGATTGAGTTTCTAGACCAGCTCTGGCAAAAAGCTAGGGAAAACCCTATCTCAATCAATAAGCTGGGTGTAGGGGTGTGCGCCTATTAGCCTGTCATCCCAACTAAATGAGAGGTCATAGGTAGGATTGTGGTGTGAGTGTGACCTTGGGCAAAAAAAAAAATGAAGGAATGAAGGGCCCTACCTGAAAAATAAACCAAAAGGGGTTGGGGGCATGGCTCAAGTGGGAGACTGTCTGCCTAAAAAGCATGAGGCCCTGAGTTCAAATTCCATAAAGAAAGAAAGAAAAGGAAGGAAGGAAGGAGGGAGGGTAGGAAGGAAGAAAGGAAGGAAGGAAGGAAGGAAGGGAAGAAAATAAAATAAATAGTTGTTGAAAGTCAGGGGTCAGTGGCTCACACTTCTAATCAGGAGGCAGAGATCGGGAGGATCATGGTTTGAAGCCCACCCAGGACGCTATCTCAAAAAAACCCTTACAAAAAAAGGGCTGGCAGAGTGTCTCAAGCTGAAGGCTCTGAGTTCAAACTCTGGTAGAGAAAAAAAAAAATTGCTGTTGACAAAAACAAGTTAGGCCAGTGCCTGTGGGTGTGGCACGCCACTCTGCCAGCCCAAAGGAGAGTATTCGCAGCAGTTGAAGAAGGCTAAAAGTACTTCTCTCTTTTCAACTATGTATTTGTTAGGCTGGATTTTCTCCATGTACCAAAACAACATTGCACAAAAGAGAGAATAAGAAACCAAGTGTTAGAATTACGATGTCTTCTATTAAGCTGGACATTAAAGGGATTTGAAAAATTGTAATACAATGCGATTCTACTAGCTATTTTTTTGTTTTTAAAAAATATAGCTCATAAAACATATTAACATGTAATAGTGTATTATTGTTTTAAACGAACTCAATACATGCCTTGCAATTTCTCAATTCCAACTTCTTAGTGAATACCCTACAAAAACAAAAGCTCCTTAAGAAAGTCTTTAATAATTTTTGAATTTATGTAAAAGAATCTCGAAAGCCAGGCACCAGTGGCTCACGCCTGTAATCCTAGCTACTCAGGAGGCAGAGATCAGGAGGATCGCGGTTTGAAGCCAGCCCGGGAGAATAGTTCTCGAGACCCTGTGTAGAAAAATAAAACAACACACACACACACACACACACACACACACACACACACACACACACACACGCTGGTGGAGTTGCTCCAAGTCCGGGAGAATAGTTCTCGAGACCCTGTGTAGAAAAATAAAACAACACACACACACACACACACACACACACACACACACACACACACACACACGCTGGTGGAGTTGCTCCAAGTGGTAGAGTCTCTGCCTAGCAAGCGTGAGGCCCTGAGTTCAAACCTCAATACCGCTAAAAAAAAAAAAGGGATCCCGAGACCAAAGTTTGGAAAACCATGCTGAGTTGGGTTCCGCTATACAGATGAGGAAACTACCATTGTATTTTGCAGGGGTTGGTAGGACTTGTTCGAGGTCACACGGTTATTGTAGTACTGGGTATTGTGCTGAGGTCATCAACCCCACAACTTCTCTTTGCGACCTTTTTCTCGATAATATTTTTGCTAAAAATATCTTTAAGCAGGCTGTGAAAGAGACAGTTCGATAACACTAAAGTCTTCAGCATATTCTACGTCTTTCTCTTGCTACTAACTAGCTGCTTTGGGATCGTTTCGGTGAGTCCCGGAGTTGCAGGACCCTTTCTGACAAGCTACGGCTTTCCGAATCTGAGTTGGGAGTCCCCTTGATAACTCCGCTGGAGAACGGCAACCTGCGGGGTTCAATCGCGGACCCTCTTGGGATTTAGGTTCCAGGAATGTGGGCGTTTCCTTCCCTGAACCTCCTACACTACAATTGCCTTTTGCAGAACTGGAACTGCAGGCACCGCCTCCTTACTCCTCCGCTCCACTTGCAGAACGTTAATGACGCTCCCTGGGCGCTGATTGGCTGCTCCTGACAGCAGTGGGCAGGACGTGACCTTGGATTGGATGTTAGCGCTCAATCACCGCCTCTCATCCCGTACCCCCCGTCCTCACCCGCGCTGCGTCTCCAGCGCCCCAAGAGAGTTGTGGAATCCTGACTCCAGCCCAGGCATGGGCGGGGCGCGGTCACGTCGCCAGGGAGCGATCGCCACTGAGAGCCCGGGCCGGAGGGGGCGGGGTGTCCTGGGCATCAGGGATTGGCGCGTCGGGAGCTATCTCCCGTCGTGCACCGGGGTACCGCTGGCTCAACCCGGAAGGAGAAGCCGGACTGTGGCTACATGGTGAGGAGCTGGTGCTGCTCTCAGGTGAGGGGGCGTGGGCGGGACTCCTAGGAGTGAGTGCTGCTCTCAGGTGAGGGGGCGCGGGCTTGAGCGTCTGGAATGGCCTTTGAGTGGTGGCCTTGCTTTGCATCTTAGGGAAGAGGCTGTCTCACCGTCCGGGATGAAAGCGAGGGGTTGATTGCTGAGGATCCAAGAAAGGAAACCTGGCTTTTCAGTTTACTTTGAAAGGATAAGGTATCTTTTCTTCCCTCATCCCAAGCTTAGTCGGGAAAGGAGAAGGGCCCTATGGCTCTTTTACTTCTAGTTCGTTAAGAAATGGAGGGGGGGGTGGTGGCTGTAGTCAAAGTCTGGGGACATTTACCCAAGCGGCTAGCATTAGGGTGTAGCAAGTATTTTACGCGGTCACGGGCGAATTGGGTTAGATTGTGTCGCGGTTTACTGATGGACAAAAAGATGGAACACAGCTGCTTAGTAGAGGACACACAGAGCTTGGTCCAACAGGGGAGCTTCCGCTGACACCTGTGGGTATTTGGTAAGGAGAGCTTTTTGAGTTGCTATCTGCCACAAAGGACTCAAGAATGAGTAAGAAAGGGTGTTGAGTCTTGTTGGTGTAATCTGCTTTTATAGTTTGATTTGTTTTTTTAACTTGTCTTTTGAAATAGTATAAATTGGGAGAGAAAATAGTGAGGGGAAGACCTTGAATTGTTAAGACTTTGGAAAGCTTTATAATGAATCTACTTTGTAAACCACAATCATGTTTTGGCCCAGAGCTATTGGTGCTGGTATAGGTGGAGACTGTAAAGGACAGTGTAGATATGACTGAGGGGGCCCAGGAAATGCAGTTAGCTCCGAGTAAGCAGGTTAACTGAGAGAGTCACTACTAACCTTCTTTGGGTAATGCACAGATTCATTCCCTAGATCGTAGAGCTGAAGTTAAGAACGTCCTGCTTCTCCTCCAAGAGCAGAACTGATCCTCCAAGGGCTGAACTGGTTTTCCAAAGAGTGGTATCTGTGTGAAGGAAGTTGTGGTGGAGAATAGCAATTTCTAGAAATTATTACTTGAGTCTAGGTTTTTGCATTTGTTCCAGTATTTTAAGGGAAGTTACAACCAATACTTTCTCAGTGCCCCTTAAAATTAGGTTTAAGAATACACCATCTGAAGGGTTTTTTTTTAAAGGCTATTTAAAAAAGGCTATAAGCCTTTGTTTCTAAGTGATACTGGCCCCAAAGGAAAGAAAAGGAGAACTTAAATGGAGGTGGTTCAGGGCCCTACAAAAGCAGTTTTGAGACCAAAAGTCTGATGATCACTTGTAACTTACCCTAAAACAGGACAGGAGATGTGTGAGTACTACTGAATGTGTGATAACTATAGTTTCCTTGACATCTTTCCTATTGTTGCTTTTGTGAAAAGAATATGTAATTCTCTGTTCCTGTGTTGACCTTTTACCAAATGCCTGAAAAGAGAAGAGAAAGAAATGCTTTTTGTTTTTGTTTTTTTTCAAGGAGGCTAATTATTCACAACAAATTTGTCTGTTTTTCTTGGTCACAACCACTTGACTGCTTACATCTGGGCTGTGATACATGAACTGTTAGGGAATTAAACTTCCTACCTTCCAGTTCAGGACCCCTTGGAGGTGGTGACTGCATCAGATGAAAAATCAAATTGTCAGCAAGAATACTGTTTAATATGGTATTGAAATTGCAAAACCTTGGGTTTGCTCCACAGTGTAGTCCAATTTTGTCATCTACCATGTAGCTTTGTCTCTGCATCAATGTCTGTCTATAGAGAGGCCTTCTGGTGTATTGGGAAGGATTGCAAAAACTGTTTGCTCTGCTAATTTCATGCTGTAAATGAGTTCCCCTTCTTTTGAAACACTAGCCTTGTGTTAGCAAAACATAAACTAGAAGGAAACTCATTACACACTCTTCTAATGGTAAGGCAGAACTAATAAGAGAATGTGCTTAAAATTAATTGTGGGACTGTAGAAATGACTGGGTGTGTGAATGGGCATGGTGGGGAGGAGAGAAGAGGGAGAGTTTAGAGGTAGTCTTGTTTTCCCAGGAGCCAGCCTGGATCATTTGTTGGCAGTACATATTGGCTGAAGTCAGTTTTCATTTCAAGGTAAATTGGAAAGGGAAATTAAACCTTATTGTTCCGCTCTTAAGAGAGAGGAAGGGGGTGGAGGCAGTCGCCAGGGTGGATGCTGTTGGAGTGGTTCTAGGAGTAACAAGATTAGTGCTGTATTTTAACAGAAGGTGACATCATGGGCCCCTTTGGACTTGAGTAACCCTGTGCTGCAGCCTTCATGGTCCCCTTGTTGGAGTGGGCGATGTCGCTAATACGTGAAAACTGCCACATTGGGGAAAATCAGGGGCTTGGGCTTTAATGAATCTTTACAAAGGAGCTGAATGCATCCTGAGTCAACCTGCACAGCTGTGGGGTGCTTGGGCAGAAGTACAAAGCTGATGGCATGTTGAGAGGAAATGATTAGACTGTTGGCTCCAGTTCTAGAGAACAGATTCAATAAGGGAAGGTAGCAACTGGGCAGCTCACTCAGGTACACCCTGGAGTGCTCCAGCTTCAGTATTCACCTACCCGGGATTATTGTCCTTAGCAAGACAAAGAGGTGGGGAGTATTGGTATTTGTAGGGACTTGGTTGTCTCTAAACAGCCAGGAGGGGGCGCTGTTAGGCTCACTTTCAAATCCATGCTCTCCAGTGCCCACCAGACACTGCGGTGTCAGCAGTGCTCAAAGCAAAAGTTTTTACAACTGAACCTTCCACTCTGCTGCCTGAGACCCACTCTCACATACCCCAACATGCTTTGGGTACAGGTAATCTTGCAGAGAGAGTCCCAGCAGTGGTCTGAAAAAGCAAGCAAATTTCCCAGGGCTTTTAGTTTTAGTTTGGCACTGAGCTAATGTGGGTGGGTTTTTTTTTTTTTTGCTTCCTCTTTAAATTTTACCAAAGAACAAAAAAAAGCTTACGTGGGTTTCCCCAGGAGGCATCTATTAAAAACCTTCAGAGTGTTGCCCTGGGAAAGTGTGGTAAGAACAGAAGCAGACCAAGTAACCTTGATTGTCCCCATGTCCTATCTTCCTCATCAGATGTTTTCTTCCAATGGGCGTTTGGTGTAGAATGTTGGAGAACCAAGAGCAGGAGGTAAGAGTGGTTTCCAGACCAGGTAGGTAAAAGTTAGAGGGTAATTTAGGAACAGAGGGATACAGACACAAATCATGGCTCAGTGGTGTCCTTCCATAATATACCCTGGTAATTCTGATGAACTCAAAGTAAAGCCAGGAGAAGTAAGTCAATAGCAGCTGCATTGCTGGGAAGTGAGCTTCCATTTTGACTAAGTTTTCCTTTGGCTGGAATGTACTAGAATGTAAGCTTCTGAGAGAGGGATTTTTGTCTCTTGTTCATGCTTTTATCTCCAGCACTAGAACAGTGCCTGATATAGTGGATGCTCAATAAATATTTATTGAATTGAATGGGAAATGAATAAAAGATGTGCTAAGTGGGAAACTCTGGTACCAGTGTGGTCAAAGTTGCCTTGCTGTGTGCCTGAACTGAAGCTGAGGGAGCATTTTTTTCCCTATAGGAGGTTGATCACCGTGCGTGTTTCAGGACCCCCGAGTGCAGAATGAGGGCTTCCTGGAATTCGTATGTGGATTATAAGATTTCCTCCATGTAGTGTAAGCTTCTGTGTTGGGGTCTACACTCTCCAAGGCTAAAGGTTGTGCTGAGGTAGAACTGGCTTGTGGGTGTTTCCAGCAGCCTTCATACAGAAGCCTTGGAAGAAAAGGAGGGGAGAGAGGAAAGAGCTTGAGGTATGCCTGTGAGCTTTGTCAGGTTGTCTGTTGGTGGCAATTTTGCTTTGTTTGGACCTCTGATTGGGACTGTGGCCTAATGGCTGGCTCTCTTGACAATGGTGATGGGGAGCTCATGTAAACTTGGCCTTTCCACTTAAACCTCTTTTGATGTACTTCCTCCTGTAGACGAACAGCAAAGCCTTCACTGCCAAGACCTCCTGCCGTGAGGCGCCGCTACCGGGAGTTCGTGTGGCTGAGGAAGCAGCTACAGAGAAACGCTGGTTTGGTTGAGTTGATTCTTGCTCCCTTCTGGGGCTGACAGGCTTTTTAAGTACTTACTTGGAACTGCATTGACAGTGAAGAGAACTTGCAACATGGCAGAACTAAAGAAATTCAGAGGGTCTCAAATGGTAGAGCACCTTCCTAGAAATTCAAGGCTTCAGCTTCAGTACTTCAAAAAAAAAAAGAATAAAAGGAAATGGGAAATGCCTTTTTTAATCATGTGCTCAAGTCAGTGAAAAAAAGCAGCTCATTTTAGTAATTTGACCTAGCAAAGTTACACAAACTGTAAAGTATATTTTTTTACCTTTTTTGTTTTTGTTTTTGAGATAACACTTTCTATGTAACCAGGCTGGCCTCATGATCTTCCTGTCTCAGGCTCCTGGTTGGATTCCAGGCATTTGCCTCCATGCCTGGCTCAGTATTTATTTTTAATACAGTTCATAGTTTAGGGCTCAACAAATGTACTGATAGTGAGTTTCTTTTTTTTTCAGTTCTGGGGTTTGAACTCAGAGCCTCTATGCTTGCTAGGCAGGCTCTCTACCACTTAGCCAATCTCCAGCCCCTATTAGCACTTTTAATGGCTTCTTACTGGGTATCAGAAAATTTAAGTACTTCAACTATTTGACAAGTTGTGTTCCTGTCCATTTGACAGGTTAAAGTTGTGGGGTTTTTTTTTGTTTGTTTGTTTTCTTTTTAGTACGAGCTTCCTTTTCTGGAGACATACCAGAGGAAAGGAATTTATGTTTTGTTCCTCACACATTCCTTCTAATTAAGACTAGAAGTGGAGAGAACAAGAACGAGACTAGTGATCCCTTTCACCTCAGGATGGTATGAGTGCACGGTGGTGATGGATGGCCTGTTGAATGGTCAATGCAGATACTTACATGGGGCTGGGGAGACTATTGCCATGGAGCAGCCCTCCTGAGCCAGTTGAGACTCTCTCTGACAGATCACACACCCTCTAGGCTGGCCTGTTTTTTAAAAAGCTTGTGCTGTGCTTCATAAGAGGCTAGAACTGGAGGCCAGTGGCTCCCGCCTATAATCCTAGTTACTCAGGAGGCGACATGGGGGTGCCTAGTTTGAGGCCAGCCTAGGCAAAACGTGGACTAGAAGTGGAGAGAACAAGAACGAGACTAGTGATCCCTTTCACCTCAGGATGGTATGAGTGCACGGTGGTGATGGATGGCCTGTTGAATGGTCAATGCAGATACTTACATGGGGCTGGGGAGACTATTGCCATGGAGCAGGCCCTCCTGAGCCAGTTGAGACTCTCTCTGACAGATCACACACCCTCTAGGCTGGCCTGTTTTTTAAAAAGCTTGTGCTGTGCTTCATAAGAGGCTAGAACTGGAGGCCAGTGGCTCCCGCCTATAATCCTAGTTACTCAGGAGGCAGACATGGGGGTGCCTAGTTTGAGGCCAGCCTAGGCAAAACGTGAGACCCTATCTCAAAAATATCAAAAAAAGAGTGACTCAAATTGTAGCATGCCTGCCTAGCATGTGAGGCCCTAAGTTCAAACCCTAGAACCAGAAAAGAGGCTAGGAAGGTCTAAAGAGTTGGTGGATGACTTGCTGCAACTTAACCACTTTTAGCAAATTCCAGACATGTACCTCCTGGAGTAGGTAGTCCTGTTTTTGAGTACATAGTCCTTTCTGTTGTTATTTTGTTTTTTTGAGACACGGGTCTGCTATATGTAGTCCAGTCTGGCCTCATACTCTTTTTTTTTTTTTTTCCCCTTGGGGGGACTGGGGTTTGAACTCAGGACTTCATGCTTGCAAAGCAGGCGCTCTAACATTTGAGCCACAACTCTAGTCCATTTTTGTTCTGGTTATTTTGGAGATGAGGTCTTGTAAACTATTTCCTGAGTGGCCTTAAACAGAAGTCTTCCTGATCTCAGCCTCTCACAGTAGCTAGAATTACAGCGTGGGACACCAATGCCCAGTTGGCCTCAGATTTTTGATTCTTCTGCATTAGCTTGCCAAGTAGATGGACTACAGCACATGCCACCATGCCTAGATTGGAGTAGATGGTCTTTGTTTACACAAAGAACCCAGTTGTTTGCTATGTTTAAGTTTCGTCATTTTTAAAATAATAGTCGATAGTGGGAGAGGATCTTATAGACAAGGTAGTGTAGTAGCATGGGTTTGGGAATCATAGACTTGGTTCTCATGCCAACTTTTCCTGTGTGACAGTGGGAAATGTACTTAACTGTTCTGATCTTTTTTTTTTTTTTTGGTGGTACTGGGGATTGAACTCAGGGCCTCATGAATGCGAGGCAAACACTAAACCACTGAGCTATATCCCCAGCCCCCCCTTTCTGATCTTCAAAGTGGGGAGACTAATAGTCTCAGGTGTTTTGGGAGGATTAAATGAAGTAACATTTGTTAACAATCTAGCACAATGCCTGACATGCAGTCAGTTAGTTCTCCTCCCTTATTAAAAGTAATCGTATTGACTTGGCCTCTCTTCAGGGAGTGTTACATTTCTCTTAAATGGTACATTCTGTGACTCCACAGGCCTGTGCCTGAACTTCCTGGGAAGTCCACCTTTTTTGGCAGCTCAGATGAGTTTATTGAGAAGCGACGACAAGGTCTGCAGCACTTCCTGGAAAAGTGAGTAGACCTGCCAGGCTGCTGGGGTGGAGGTAGGGGCAGGGGCAGAGGAAGGTTCCAGAATATTTGTGGTTGGCGTCTTTCTTGAGCCTCGAATCCTCAGTGCTCACTGAAGCCAGAAGCCCTTCGGGGATGGAGCTGGAGAACAGCTCGTTGGAGTGCTCTCTGTGCTGTGCTCTCTGTGTCACTGCAGGGTCCTGCAGAGTGTGGTCCTTCTGTCAGACAGCCAGTTGCACCTCTTCCTGCAAAGCCAGCTCACGGTGCCTGAGTAGAAGCCTGTGTCCAGGGTCGAAGCTTCCATGACTGTGTCTGATGCCACTTCTTCACTATGCTATGTCAAACTGTGGCTGGGCCCAGAGAGAGGCAGAGCACATCTCACCTGGCTAAAGGAGACCAGCCTAACAAGTAATTGAAGTGTCTTTTTGACATACCTGGGACTGGGATTATTGTAACCTGGCCCAGTGGGGTGTCTGTTTGTTAGGCAAGTAATGTCACAGCATCAGAAACCTTTCAGAAAGGCCTTATTCTCTGAGAGCATGGGTAGCAGGGGTTCTAATCAAAACCCAGGGAGAAAGCAGAGGAAGGCTTTTCTTGTCTCTGTTCTTTAACCCCACATTTTTTTTTTTTTTTTCTTTTATGGTACTGAGATTTGAGATTTCAGTTCTACCACTTGAGCAACAACACCTCCAGTCTTTTTGCTTTTAGTTTGTTTTTTTCAGATAGGGTTTTATGATATTTTGCCCATACTGGCCTTGAACTGAAATTCTCCTCTCTCTACTTCCTGTCTAAGTTGCTGGGATTACAGGCATGAGCCACTATGCCTGCCCTTCCCCACCTTTATATGTGTGTGGTTACTGGGTTTGAACTCAGGTCTCATGCTAGGTAAGCACTCTATCATTTGTGCTACACCTCCAGCCCTCAAGTTTTTAAATAGTGGCTTTATTGACATAAAATTCATATGTCATAAAATTTGCCTTTTTAGAGCTGAGTATTGGCACATGCCGATAACCCCAGCACTTGGTAGGTTGAGACAAGAGTATCTTTTTTTTTTTTTTTTTTTTTTGACAGTACTGTGATTTAAACTTGGCTGGATGGGTAGCGTAGAACAAAAACAAGACTGGAGGTGTGGCTCAAGCAGTAGAGCTCCTGCTTTGCAAACACAAAGCCCTGAGTTCAAACAAAAACCCAAACTTGCCTTTTTTAGTGTTCAGTTCAGTAGTTGTTAGTAAATTTACAGGGTTGTGCAGCTATGAATTATCTTGTCAATTTTAGAATTTTTTTTTTTTTTGCAGTGCTGGGGATTGAACCCAGAACCTCACCCATGCTAGGGCAAGTGCTCTGCCACTGAGCTGCATCCCCAGCTCTTAGAATATTCCTCCCTGGCAACCACAGTCTGCTTTCTGTCTCTGGATTTGCCTGTTCTGGACATTTTACACATGGAGTCATATGATATGTGGTTTTGTGGAACTGGCTTTTATCACTTAGCATAACATTCTCACAGTCTACCCATGTTGTAGCGTATGTCAGGACTTCATTCCCTTTTATGACTGAATACTACTCCATTGTGTGAGGCCACCACCTTCTGTTTATTCACTCGATGCATCTGTCTATTCATTTTTGCGGATCTGTTCATCCCTTGCTTTTCTTTCCCCCCTCTTTTTCTTTCCAGTTGCTGCTTTCTTCCAAGATCGGGGAGGAGGAGTTCTCCCTCACCACCTGCCTGTGAAGAGAAGGACCATGTAGAAGTGTGGGTTCCTGTGGTTGACTCTGAGGATCTGACCTCGGAAAGTCTCACTCTGCCAGCCCTCTCCTCACCACCATGCTGTGATTTTGCAGGGTCCGATGAGGGAGCCTCCACTCCCCAGCCTGTGAGGAGGGTTGTGGCAAGGGACTGTTCTGTGCTTTTGGAGCCTGGGCAGATAGACACAGTTTGGGAAAAGTGAATTCTGCTCTGAGCTCTGGGTTATACTTCAGGGCAGTTGGAGAAGATGCAGGCCAGGAAATGGTCATTCAGGTGGGATTGGGCACAGGGCAGGTGTGCATTTTATAGCCACTCCTGCTCAGGTTGGCTGCAGAGGTCAGTTTCTACCGTGTAGGTGTTTGTAAGTTGAGCACAAGGCCTAGATGCTTTGGTTTTAAATAGAACCCTGTATTTACCCTCTTGGGAGTTGAGTTTCTTCACATGTTTGTTTATAGGCTCAGGAGCACTGTCTCAGGTGACTGATTTTGGGGACCTGTATATGACAGATTCTCAGCTGCAGCAGTATTGAATATTGTCCCAACAGGATGCTTCTGTTGGCCCATCTTGGCCAGCTTCAGTTCTTGCTGTGGCCTCTGGAGCACTTTGTTTCTGGGGGTGCTGGCCTTTTGCTTCCCTCTGCACACAGACGGGCAGTGAAGACTTGCTCTCCATCTCCTTGCTGCTCCTTCACTAACACCCTAAGCAGAACTGGTGCTGCAACTTCTGCTGCTGGGGTTTCTCGCAGAGCCAGAGACCCCTGGGACTGAGGAGGGCCTGAGAGCCACCTGCGGCTCAGGGCCTTTCATGAGAGAGAAGTGGTTGGCGCTCACCAGAGGGAAAGGAACAGCTCAGGGGGCTTTGCTTTGGAATAGGCAGTCCTGGGCTGCCTCTGTCCTCTGCTTCTAAAGCAGAGCTGTGGTTATCTTTTTTGCAGAGTTAAAGTGGGCTCCTTTTCTAAACCTTTTCTTTAGTCACAGTGCCCTGCCCCCAGGGCTATATAGCCGCCACAGTGTCCCTCTGCTGTGTTTGCAGGGAGGCTGTATGGTCAGTCCAGTGGGGCACAAGGCTTTGTTTCTGCCTGGAAGAGAGGGCCATGGGGATGAGGGTGAGGAACAATGCGCCTTCCTTCAGACAATGAGGCATTCTGGCCTCCTGCTGCCGTGACTCCTCTCCACTGAGAGCCAGGGCTGGCAGAGCCGAATGCAGCAGGCTCTCTGTGCTCTGCTCTTAGGTTTGTGTGCGTGGTTCTCCCCCAGCACTTGCCCACTCCTCCCTCTGCCTTCTCGCCTCGGGCCATCCACCCTGCCTGTAGGCTCCTTTACTGTCAGCCTATGTTATGGGACTGTCACGGCATTTAGTTCAGAGTTGAGGGGCTTTGGCCTGAAATAAAATGCAAGTATTTAAGACTGTTGTTGCGATTTGTGTCTAACAAGCTGTAGCAGAGGAGGGAGTGAGGGCTGGCAGTAGCTACTTTCATAAATCATGAATTTATCAGCGTGGAAATAATGGTTCAGAACTGTGCACTGTGGCTCTCTGCATTGTGTGTGCAGCACAGGTTCACCACTGGAGGAAGGGTTGTCTTCCAGAGAGCTGGGATCCTGCTCTTCTCACGGTTCTGGGCATGAACCTTGTTAGGTATAATTTACCTGATGCTGCTTCCATCCTCGCAGCCTGTCTAAGGTGCCAGGTGCTGAAAGAGAAATAAAGTTTGTCAACAGGCAGATGCAAAGCCCTGGCTGGGATTCATTCCTCTTTCCTGCCCACCTCCCCTGGGCCTCTCCTTTATATGCTGCAGTAGAGCAAGGCGAGGATGGAAAACCTACAGAGGCAAATCCAAAATGTCAAAAGAAGTTCATTTAAAAGAGGAAAAAAACTCCATACGCAACCCTCACAAAAACCCGACAGATGCTAGGCTAATGGCATCCGCTCTGCCGATTGGTGGGGATGGCTTATGAATATTAATGAGTCCAATGCTCCAAATGGTGCAGCTGTGAACCCAGCTGTGCCTGAAGCTCTCTGATCTCGAAACTCCAGACAGGAGCTGGAGGTGGTCTGTGTCAATTCCCTACTCAGCCAAAAAACAGCAAGCTGGGTCGGCCTTCTTCTGTTCACCCCTTCTCTTCCTGGAGTTGGTGCTCAGCAGCTAGTTCTGCCAGCAGGCAGGGCTGCTGGGACAGCAGGCACCGTTCCTAGACATGGATGTGATTTTTCTGACTCCCTGCTTTTTCAACGATCCATTAACGGCAGTGCATACAGCAGCACCTCCGTTAATCTGAGGGCAAGCGCCATCCCCTCCGTCTTGTGCTGAGTTGAGTATTGGCTGTGGAAAGAGATGTTGTAAGAAGGAGAGAGCTTTTCTGATAATGGCCTGGCTGCCAGAAAAACAGCAAAGGAACTTTCCTCTCCTTCCAGGCAGTGCCTTATGCCCCACTCATGTTTTCTCTGTCCCATGTGTGCTGAGGTCTAGCCACCACAGCTAGATCACCTCTATGTGAAAGGTGAGTTGCTAGCCGGGGGGGAGTGGCCCACAGAGCTGTTTGTAGAATGGAAATTCTTTGTTTAGTTTTGAGGCTTGAGGCAGGTTTACTGCCTTGGTCGCCTTTCTTCTACAGCTACTTCTGTCATCTTCCGTTACTCAGAAGTGATTCAGGCTTATGGGAGAGGGTTCAGAGTGGGTCAGGAAGAGATGGCAGGAAGAGTGGATAAAAAATGAAGAGTACATAAAAATAGCTTCATATGCATCACTTGATGTGACCTCAGTGCCCAGAGAGGGGGCTAGGCAGGTGTGGCCCTCAGTTTCTAGCTGAGGACTCCCAGTGTGGCTTTTAGAAAGCACATTTTAGACGGCAAAGTGGTCTATGCACATGAGGTATTTTCCAAGGTCCTTTTCCCCTCAAGCTTCAAAACAAAATGTGGAAACAAGCCACTACATGTAAGGAAAAAATTCCACAGCTTTTCAGAGTTGCTCTCAGAAATGGGGCTCATCCACTGTCCTCAGTGTTCAGACTGCTAAGGCCTTAGATCCCTACCACCGAGTCCTAGGCATGCCCTACCATCTCTGGTAGCTTTGCTTGGGAAGCAATCAAATCCTTTTTTTTTTTTTTTTTGTTGCCACTGGGGTTTGAACTCGGCCTCGTGCTTGCTAGGCAGGTGCTCTACCACTTGAGCCATTCTGCCAGCCCCTCAATTGAATCCTTTTAACAATCAGATTGGACATTAAGTTAGCTCCATGTTTGTGTGTGTGAACATCTTGACTCTTTTTTTGTTTTTTGAGGTAGATATTGCTATGTAGCCCCAGGCTGACCTCCAATTCACAATTTTTTTTACCTCATCCTCCCAGTGCTGGGATTATAGGCCTAAGTCACCAGGCTACCTCACTTCTTGCTGGAAAAAAAAAATACACACACACACATGTTTTTTTTGGTGGGACTGGGGTTTGAATTTGGGATCTCATGCTTGCAAAGCAGGCACTACACTGCTTGAGCCACACCTTTAAGTCTGTTTTGCTCTGATTATTTTGGAGATGGGGTCTGGCAAACTGTAGCCTTGAACTATGATCCTCCCTATCTCAGCCTCCCAAGTAGCTAGGATTACAGACGTGAGCCAGGGTGGCCTCCGGATGTATGTAGGGGCAGCAAGCTGAGACACAGATAAAGCACTGCACCATAAGAGATCAAGAGATGGCAGCCTCCTCTGCCAGCAGGGAGTTGCATTTGTAGAAGTCACATAACCATCCACTTTCTAGTCTCCTTACCCACTATACCTTCTTCTGGAAAGTTCCCTGGGCTCACTTTGAAAGCTCCCACCTGCCTCTTATTTTTCGTTGACTTCCTGCCCTAACTTCTCTGTCTGAGAAACTTGTTTTGGGAACTGCTGCGAAGACCAAGTGTGCATTTGCTTTACCAGCAGTAAAGTAGGAGCCCAGTCCTAAAATCTTAGAGAAGTAACTTCTTAAAGGATAAACAGTTCTGCCTCAAGCCACAACTGAATGGGAGTGAGAAAGCCAGAGACCTCAAATCTCAAGATTTAATAAACAAACTATGCTCAGAAGAAAGCAAGAGCCTCATTCTCTAGCACACAGATCTCTCCTGACTTGATGAGCAGAGAGTGATACTTCCCTTTGGTTTGGGAGGTGTTGGCTACTTCCAAAAGCAAAGGAGAAACACATGGGTGCTTCATGGTAGTGAGAGGGCCCAGATAAGTTGGAGAGGTGGTAAGGTGGGGGTGTGGGAGGTAAGAGACCACTGGAAAGTCTTCAAGGGTTTTTCCATGGAAGGGCAGGAACACAAATGCTTCTGTCATCTTTGGGTTATGGGAAGCCATTAACCAAAATTTCTTCTCATGCATGGCTACCAAGCCCTTCCTGGCCTTCCACCAAGTTTTTTTTTCTTTCATACCATCCATTTCGATGGGGCTAGCTTGTCAGTTCCTTCAGTGGCCTATCCCTGTGTGTTCCTTCCCTTGGTGGTCCTATTGGTGTGGGATGCCTGGCCCACAAGCAGTCAGACCCAGGTCTCCAGCAGAAGGCCCAGAATAGCAAGAGCCTGAGGCAGTCTGTTGGAGGCAATGCAGCCTGCTTGCTCTAAGCTACAAGACTTAGATATATTCTAACAATTAGGGCACATCTGTTCGAAATGCTGAAAGGTGGGCACTGTCTCTTTAAGAGCCATCCCACTCCTCTCCTTGAGTGATGAGGGCTGGGAGCACAGGGGAGTCAGATGCTGATTAAAACAGTCCTACTGCCGAGCTCTGTTAGAAAAATTACTGTAATTATGATCTAGTCCCAGCAGAGGGATGAGTTCCAATCCTGCTAATAACCCTTCCAGGTGCCTCAGCTTCAGGGCCCAGGGGAGGCAGCATCGACAGGGCTCTGGCTGGCACTGGGGCCAGTGCTGGCCCTCCTGTTTGGCTTATGTGGGCAAATACAACAAAGGCACCAGAACCTTCCTCCTGTCTGGGCCTCGTCAGAAGAGAGTGGATTTGGTGGTTTTTCTTTGTTTTGTTTTGGTGCTTGGCAGAGCTCCTGTGAGTCATTTTGTATGAGAAAACTTTCTCCTAACCTAACATGAAGGACCAGGAAAATCACAGCCAAGAATGGCAATCTGTCCTATGCTCCTCCTGCCTGGGGGTCACAGACAACAGCTCCCCAGCGCTTTGAACCACCCCAGCCCAGCCCAGTGTGGTGCAGGGGAACCATACATGCCCTCTCGGCTGTGCAGAAAGGGCTGTCTGTATTGCTTCTGGGATCCTGTATTTCTTGCTCTGAAGTAGTACACAGCATTTCACTCGGTCCCAATCAAGCATTGCAGCAGAGCTCTCTTCTGATGTGTGCCATGGAAGAGGGAAATGAGAGACATTAAGCCAGAGCTCTAGATATTATGGGCTCTCTGAACCCGCCAGGGCCAGGGCGGCCAGAGTCATCCAAACCTGCAGCAGCGCAGGCAAACGGGACTCAAAGGTAGACTTGGGGCTGGCTTCCTGCGTTTTAAATCCTGAAGTATTCACACTTATGTGCTGTATCTTCCCAGCCCTGCTGTAAACTGCTGTCATTATCACATAGGGCTAAAGGAAGGGCTTGGTTCTAAGCACACTCCAAAAGTACCGAGACTGTGGTTCTCTACTGGGGGGATTTTATACCCAGGGGACATTTGTCAACACCTGGAAACATTTTTGATGTCAGGGATACTACTGACATTTAGTGGATAGAGGCCAGGGCTGCTGCTGGATATACTGTAGTGCTTGCAATAAAATACAATTTTCTGGCCTAAAATCTCAATAATGCTGAGGGTGAGAATCCCCCCATTCACAGAGTGAAGTAGTCAGTTCCAAGTTCCGTTCCCCTAAATTTGGAAGTGTTGAAGAAATGATCTCTAGATGCCAGGTGCCTTCCTAGAGGAGGGGTGGTGGTATGCATGTGACACCCTGGCAATCCACAGCATAGGAGGCCATGGGTGAAAGGGAAATGTTTGGAGCCTGTTTTCTGCTCAATGAGGACATTAAAAAGTGGCCAGCTGCTCCCTGTCAGGTTGAGAGAGCGTCTGCAGTGGAACCAGATGCCCTCTTTGAGGACCAGTACTAGAAGCCTCTTGGAACTCACTCCCATCACAGGAGGCAAGGAAGTGGCATACTGTTGCCCAGTGTCACAAAAGTGCTTCCTTCAGTGGCACTCTGCCAGCTGGAGATGTGGAGGACCCCACCAGAGAACTGAGCACAGCTGCTGACAGCAGGCCAGCTCCACAACGGCTGCATGCCAGAGACACCAGGCCTCAGGACAGTCTGGGCATCAGGAAAAGGAAGCCCGGTTGGCAGGTTCGCCTCTTAGAAGCCAGACCTGCAGAGAAAGGGACTTTATTAGAAGGGATGTCGCCAGGCCTTGCACTCCACCGCCCACTCTGCAGGTGATGGAGCAGCACGTTTTGCCTTTTTTTTAGTGTGACCACACAGCCCAGTTTACTCCTGCAGCCTCAGTGTCATTATTTACTCCCTCTTCACTCTCAAAAGTACCTCAGGGCTGGAGTGGCTTAAGTGGTAGACATCTGCCTACCAAGTGTGAGGCCCTGAGTTCAAACCCCAGTA